CAACAGTAGTCAAATGAATACAATAAACAATTATTAAGTGCCATTTATGGACCAGGGAGACTGTGCCAGGTGCTGTGTGTCCTAAAGGTATATACATTCAAACAGGGGATACTACAAGTAAACAAGTTAACATGGTCACCTCTGAGGATGGGGTAGTGAACATCAATGGCTAAGGGAAATGGGAAGATTTTCCCAGAGGAGATGAGACATAAGCTGAGCCTTGAAAGATGCCAAAACCATTTCTCCCTTCTGCTCAGAAACCATCAGTGGCTCCCTATTGCCTGTAGGAAAAAATGGCAAACTCCCCAGCCCGGCTCTTCACACTACAGCTGCAGCCTTCCTTTCCACTCTCATTTCACAGGACCCCTCTTCACAAACTGCATTACTGCCAAACTGGCCTTCTAGCCATCCCCTGAGATAACCATTCCCTATCCTGTCTTGGGGCCTTTTCAAGAGCTGTCCCTCATGCCTAGGAGGCTCTACCTCCTCACCATCTCTCAGAATTCTTCCCGTCCTTCAAGGTTCAAGCCAGGTACAAATCTCTCCCTAAAGATCTCCCTGACCTCCTCCCCCTCCCCTCGAATTCTCTCCCTGACATTGCCCTGTTACTTACTTACCTGTTTACGTGTTGTTCCCACTCACTAAGCTCCTAGAAGGGAGAGACTTTTTTATCTTTGCATCCCCATTTCCTAGACTAGGATCTTGTCTATTGTGGGAGCTCAGTGTTTGTTGAACTACATTGAGAGAGGATTCCCAGAGAGGGTCTGTGAGTGAGGAAAAGGACCCACTTAGGGTAGCTGCACCCAAAGGAAGGTCATAGGTCACCAAAGGGGAAGGGGCCACAGTGGTAGTCTAGTGATGTCAAACTCAGAGAGCAATGAGATCCTTGCAGGTGCATATTGACTTAGAAGACCACATATGAATAGCATCTATGTTCTATTTTGTTTTGTTAACTATTTCCCAATTACGTTTTTATCTAATTTAGGCTGCATTCAGGAGTATCATTCGGGACCACATGCAGAATGACCAGGCTATGTGTTTAATGTCTCTGATTCTGATTCTAATTCAACATTCTAAGTGAAAGGCAAGTGTTTATAACAGTATTACAGTACAGCAGGAAAACTGAGACCAAGAGAGCAAAGCCACTAACTAGAACCCAGGTATGACAATGATAATGATAATAATAATAGTTAAGTGGCATGGTGGATAGAGCACTGGGCCTGGAGTCGGGAAGACTCATCTTCCAGAGTTCCAATCTGGCCTCAGACACTTACTAGCTATGTGACCCTGGGCAAGTCACTTAACCCTGTTTGCCTCAGTTTCCCCATCTGTAAAATGGGAATAACAATAACATCTCCCTCAGATTGCTGTGAGGGTCAAGTAAGATAACATGTATAAAGCGGTTTGCAAACTTGAAAGTTCCATAAAGATGTTATATGAAATGTTACCTATTGTTATGATTGCTCCTGACCTTGCCTTCTAAGACCAAACAAAATAAGTTTAGTCCCTCTACCTCTTCCTATGAAGAATCACCACTTGATCACTCACCACGATGAGAGATATGGGGGGGGGGGGGAGATGGTGAAGGGAATGGGGCACAAACTGGAGATAAGACCTGTGAAAACTGAAAACTACAAGAGAGACTCCTGCTTGGAATGTTGTTATTTTTCTCTCTCCACACACAGACAGATGGTTGTGATTAATTTCATGGACTGTTCCCCAAATGCTTTTTTGTTCAGGACAAGGAGAAGCTGAAGTTAGTTTTCATTAAAGGGTGTGTGTGTGTGTGTGTGTGTGTGTATGTAGAAGGTGGGGAGGAAGAAGATTGAGAGGCTGAGTACCTGATTATTTGGGTATGTGTCTCAGTAACCTCCTAGGACTTCCTTCTGGCCACTTGCCTTGAAGAGACTTTCCCAAAAAGAACTGAAAACTGTGGAGGTTAGAATCCTACAACACCAGTGACCTCAGAACAGAGAATGTCAGAGCTGGGAGGAACCTGAGATTTGGGATCAGAGATGGGGAGATACTGACTTACACCATAAAGTGTCACAGCTGACGGGGTCTCGAGAACATAAAAGTCACAGAGCTCGGAGGAACGACCTTACAAACTGGAATGTTCCTCTCCCCTCCGCTCATGTCACACGTGCGGAATTGTCATGGCTGTCCCAGGGTACCAAGAGAGAGTGGTCCCGGGAGCCCACTTATCCCAATTCGCTTCCCAGGCAGACGGCTTCAGCACTCGGACAGCTCCCACCTCCCCAGGCCATTTCCAAAGGGTCAGGCCTAGATTGCCCTGGGACAGAAGAAGCTGGCCTGAGTTCCTAGAGGAGATGAGAGACAGGAGTGAAAAGGTCCCTGAGATTAGGGGGTTATTCTGAGGGGTGTGAAGTGTGAGAGTTTGGAAGATTACATGAGAGGGAGTCTGGAGAGAGACATAGAGAGAGTAAGTATTATTTCACTCTGCCTCACACACAGGAGTCTGGAACATTCAGGGGTCTTGCGGTAGAATTTAATGAAACAGAAACGATAAATTCCTTTGGGGTGAGATAAGAGAAAGGACACTGAAAGGCTCTGATTATTGTGAAGGGAGAGGCTGGACTTTAGAGATGTTTGGGGGGGGTGGTCAAAGACGTTCTTTGGGAGCCTCGAGAATTTCTAGGTGGGGTCCTCAGGGAGGTTCTATGAGGGCACAGAGTTTTTATAGGAGTGATCAGGGAGGTTCCCGGAGGGGAGAATGCTCTGGGATTTTCTATGGAGGACTCTGGGACATTCTTTGGGAGGGTGACTGTGGGGGCTCAGAGGCACTTGAGGAGGGATGGTGCTTCACTCAAGACTTCTGCGGAGGAAGCCTCAAAAAGGTACTTTGGAGAGAGGAGATTCAGGCATGGTCTAGGGGGAGTCGGGACACCCGAGAAAGGGAGTTGAGAGACATTCTGGGGAGGCAGTTCTTATCGATACTTGAATGGGAGGAAACAGGGGGCGTTCCCCTCAAGATTCCTCTGCTCGGAATCTTGAGATGGTGCTGATTTGGGGGAAGGGGTTTCTCATATCGGGAGGGGGTAATGGGCTCCTGGGGGTGGGGCTCTGGGAAGCTCCGCCCATCCCAGCAGCCGGCGATGTCCAAGGCTCTCCATGTGAGAAGCGGCCCTGGTGCCAGCTCGGGGTGTGAGCACCTCCCGAGCCCCGCGGATCCCGGCGGGAGCTTTAGGGCCTATGGAGCGGCCCCCAGCTTCCCTGTTTGACCGGACCGATACAGCGCTGCATCCGGAGCCCCCCGGGACACCGAGCCAGAGGCGGGCGACTGCCATGGAGCTGGGTAATTCGGGGGAGGGGGGGAAGGCTGGAGGAGGACAGTGAGTTGGACACTTTGATCCGGGAAAGAGAGGAAGCCCAGAAGTCTGGGTCACAGAGAGAGAAGGGACCGGGATACTTCGGTGCTGGTAAGAGAGGGGACCCAGACACCTGAATTCTAGGGAAAGAGGGTGTCTAGACAACTGGGTTCTGAGAAGGCTAAGAGAGGAGTACAGCCACGTCGGTCCTCAAGAGGTTTGGGAGCTGAACGCCTGCGTCCCGGGGAGGGAGGGGAGCAGTTGGATCCTGGGTCCAAGAGCAAGACGAGCTCGGATGCTTTTCGGTCCTTGCAGAGGCCCAAAGCGGCTGGGAGAGAGAGTGCTGGACTCTTGAGTCCCTGTGAAAGAAGAGATCCAGACCGCTGGTTGACTGGGGGGGGTGCGGTTTATGGGGAGGCTGAGGAGGAAGACACCTGGGTCCCACGGAGGCTGAGGAAGGAAGGCGCTGGACATCTGAGGCCCTAGGGGGACAGGAGGCAGGGGATTCCTAGATCCTGAGGAGACACTGGACGCCTGAGGTCCTAGGGAAAGAAGAGATGGATGGGGGAGTGGATTTGGGGAGAGGGCCTGGGGTCGCTCTGCCCAGAACACGTGGCGTTCTCTCGAGGCAGCGAAGTGAGGGTGGGGGTGGGAATGAGAGACCCTACTACCTGAGGAGGAAAGAAGTCAGCTGTTTCCCCTTTCCCTCCCCCCATTTTAGATCCAGGGTCTCCCCAGGGCAGCAGCAAGGCGAGGGGAAATGAGAGGGTGGCAGTCTAGGCTTTGAGAAGGGGGGCGGGGGACACTTGGGAGACAAGGGAATAAATACAGACAGATGACCGGAGCCCCAGGGTGGAGGGTGGAAGACTCGGGCCGTCTAGGTCCTCGGATGAGTTGCCGGTCCTTCCATTTCCCAGTGCCCCAGCTCCCGCCGCCTGCTCTATCGGGGTCGTCGCTTGGTATGCAGGGCGCGGGCCGGTCCCGATCCGTATGCGCGCCGCGTGGGCCCCCATTGGTATGCGGGAGCCAGCCCGGCGCGGGCGGCTGAGGACTGGGAGGCTGGGCACGTCCGCGCGCACTGGCGGCCCCACGCGGGCTTGCTTGCGGGGAGAGGAGCCGCCTGGGTTTCGGAGAGAGAAACTCGACTGGTTAGGAAGGAGAACTAGGGGCTGCGGGGAATGTGTAAGTCGGGGCTATTCGATTCCCTAAAGCCTGGGGGCTGGAAAAGGGTGGCAGGTCCAGGAATATCTCAGCGCCTTCGACACCTCAACCATGGTCCCGGGTGGGGTGGAATTGGGGGCTCGTGGTCCTCCTGCGGGGGAGACTGAGGCCAGGAGCTGCGCAGGGGCATATTCAAAGCTAATCACTGAAAGAAATCAGTCGTTCTGGACTCTGAACCTCGAGGTCCTGGAGCCAGCCTTAAGCTAGGCCAGCGGAGGCCTGAGTTCGGGAGCTCATGAGCTCCCCCAGACTCCCTCTCTTGGGCAGGACTCAGTTTCTTCTTAGATGGGGGTGGGGGGGGCGGGAAATAAGACAGCAGGTAGCCTGGGACCCCGGAGCACCTGATGGGTCCTAACTACTGCTTTCTTCTACTGCAGGTGCCCAGGTCCCTGAATCCTGCCCTCCGCTCTGAGTCCCTCCAAGCCCCAGTCAGGCTTTCGGGGCGCAGAAATGGCGGCCCACTTCTCAGGAAGCGAGGTCAAGTGCGTCAGCGTCGAGTGGGACTTCCTGCAGGGACTGCTGGTCAAAGCCCCGCCTGTGCCCTGGTGAGCAAGAGCCACCTAGCCCTGAAGCCCCTCCCAATACTGGCAGAATTCTCACCCAGGGCTCTATCCCCGCCCCCGCAGAGGTGCGATTCTCACTCAGGATTCTGTTGCCTCCCATTAGGAATGGTTCACACCGAGTTCTGTCCCCACCCATTCAGCGTTCTGACCCCACCCACTAGACAATGAAATTCTTATTTAGGACTCCCTCTCGGCCCACTGAGAATGTTTACCCACTTCTGTCCCCGCCCCCTAAAAGGAGGGATTCTCACTCAGGGTTATGTCCCCTCCCATTTGGAATTCTCACCCTGAATTCTGGTTCCCAGTCAATGTCTCCTTCCCAGAGAGGCCCACTTCTCTTGCCTGAATGAGGTGGGGGGCGGGGGGAGGGCCCGTAATGATCCTTCACCCACTCCTGAAGCCTGCAGGCCTTGAGGAAGGAGAAGTCCCGGAATGCGGCCCGCTCCCGCCGGGGCAAAGAAAACTTCGAATTTTATGAGCTGGCGAAGACGCTGCCCCTGCCCAGCGCCATCACGAGCCAGCTGGACAAGGCGTCCATTGTGAGGCTTAGCATCACCTACCTCCGCCTGCGGGATTTCGCTTCCCTCGGGGACCCTCCCTGGAGTCCCCCCAGAGCCGACCCGCCGCCAGCGCCAGGTAACACTCGGGGTACTTTGGGGTCCCAGGATCTGAACCCCCAGAGTCACAAGGAGGAGCAAGTATCTGTGCAAAGCTCTGGCAAGAAGAGAGGAAGCACCCCAGGGTTCCTGTGCCCTACCCCGACAGGTGGGGAAGGAGATCTTGGTGTCCCTGAGCCCAAAGACAAAGGGAACCCTAGGGTCTCTGGGCCCAGCCCTGAGAGGGTAGCAGAGAGACCTTGATGGCCCTACGCCTAGCCCTGACAGCCTGGTGTCCCTCTGCCCGGCCTCTACCTGTGAGAGAGACCCAGGTGTCCCTGAGCCCAGTCCTGACAGAGGTACGTAAGGTAGCCAAGTGCCTGAGCCTCCTGTCTCACAGAAGGGAACCCATTATCTGAGTCCAACCATGACAGGAGGCCAGAGGCCAGATCCCGGGTGCTTCTGCTCCCAGGCCTGCCAGGTCTGAAGGACCCAAGAGCTTGAGGCTCCAGAATCACAGAAAGGACCCATTTCCTGCATTTTCAGCCCTGTCAGGATTACCTAAGGAATCTGGCGCCCTAGTGCCCAACTCTGGCAGTGGGACAAACGGGACCCAGAAGTTTCTGTTCCCCATTCACCCTGGGAGTGGTGCTCGGAACCGGCCGGCCTATGTGGCTCCATCTGGCGCGGGGGCCGAGGCATCTGGCAGGGGCAGAAACCCTTCCCGCGGTCCCAGGCGTCTGAGTCCCAGCCTGGCTGAGCCCCGGGTTCCCACACCACCGAGTAGAGGGGAGGGGAGGGGGTGGTGGGGGGCCAAGAAAATAGCATTGATTAGGCCCGCGATAAATCGCCATTTAAATAATGCGGCTTCCAAGGCTGTAATTACGCAAATTAACCAGCGCCTAGAGAATCCGGCATTACCGCGAACACTGATTACAGTCATTACCCACCCGGGAATTAGCCGCCGCCGAGCGTGCGCTTGGAAATCCGGATAAACATCTGCCTATTGTCTCCCGGAGCCGGGGGAGGGGGGCGCGGGCGAGGGAGGGGCGCCTCAGCTCTTTTTCTGGCTTCACCCCACCCTTATCCTCCCCCCCCTCCCACCCCTAAGTTCAAGAGGACCCAGGAGTACTGGCTTCTTGATAGAAGGAATGGATTCCCATGTTCTCAGCCTCCAACCCCTTCATAGGCTCAGAGCGACCTTCTAGAGACATTATTCAGTTCAAGATTCCCGTTCCACAGAGAGAGAAACTGAGTCCCAGAGTTGAAAAGGAACTTGTCCAACATCACAAAGAAAGTCAGGGACAGGCCCCTGATGTTCCAACTCCAAGCTCTCTCTTCACCATCCTCATTTTTGGGGGGAAACAGTCAATGGGGTCCTCCCACCCTCGCTCCCCTCCACCTTCACCCGTACAATTCAGAAAAATGAGGCAAAGTAAGCAGGGACAAGCCCAGGACTGGGAGTCAGGATGCCGGAGTTAGAGTCCCAGATATGCTCCATCTCCTCTGAGCCTCAGTTTCCTCCTTTGTAAACTGGGGAGGAAGGTTGGACTCCACCGCTAACGTTCATTCTGACTCTGAGACAGGCTTGTCCTTCGAGGGTTCCTCCGCCCTCAAAGGATCTCTAAGCGAGTTAATTGCCACTCAGAGATTAAGGAGGAAGGGTGGGAGTTTCTCCTGGGAAGTGAGGGTGAGGCTGAGAGAGAGAGAGAGAGAGAGAGAGAGAGAGAGAGAGAGAGAGAGAGGGAGAGAGAGAGAGAAGCTGCAGGATAAACTGCGAATCTAGAAGAACCCAAGACCCGAATAATCCAGGCAGAAAGGTAAAGGATAAAATGAGCGACCTCTCGGCTCTGGGACCACAGGGAATCCAGCGAGAGAGCTGGCTTCAAAGAAGTCTCACTGTACCGGTGTTCACCCCACCCGACCCCCTGCTCTCCAGGAGGCCAATGCGAGTTAATATGCCTGCAATTAGCCTCGTTGGTGCAACAGGCACCCGGGAAAGGGGAGAAGGGGGAGAGAGTGAGCCGGAGAATGCCAAGCCCTGCCCTCTGCTTCTTGTCCTGCGCCTCTTTCCCACTCTCTACCCTTCATCCATCTCCCTTTTCTCTGTCTTTCACTCTCTCCCTTCTCTGTACCTCAGTGTCCCCATCTCTGTCCCAGTCTCCCCCTCTATTTCTCACTGTCCCCCACTCTGCCCTTTACCCTTTTCCCTGCAGTTCTCACCCTTATTCCTCAGTTTCCCATGTCTCTTATTCTCTTTTCCCCCGTCAATTTCTCCCATTCTATCTCTCAGCCATCCCCACTTCGTTCCAGTCTCCCCTCTGCCCATTAGTGTCCCTCCTCTGTATTGTCAGATTTTCTTTCCCTCCCTGTCTCCCCTCTCCATACTTTAGCCACCCCCCAGCTGTCTCCACCTTGTCTGTTTTCCCTTCTTTGTACCTCAGATTCCTCTGTCCCTCAATTACAAACCCTCCCTGCCTCTCCTCATTTCATTCTTCAATCCCGGCCCCCCATCCCTCAGCCTCCCATTTTCTCTGTTGCATTCTCTCTATAGCTGTCTTTGCTCTATCCTTCAGTCTCTTTTCTCTCTGTAGCTTATTCCTCCCCTTCTTCTCTGTCCCTCAGTCTCTCCTTCTTTCTATTTCCCCCTCTCTGGCTCCCCTCTGTCCTTGGGTCTTCTCTCTGTACATCATTCCTCTCTCTCTTCTCTGTCCCTCAGCCCCCTTCTCCCTATCCCTCTGTTTCCTTCCCTTTCCCTGACCTAAAGTATCTGATGGAGGGAAGGGCGGGGGAGAGACTGGGCAGTACATTGTCATACAGGATTAAACCCTGGTCTGAGAGTCAGCTGACCTGGGCTCTGGTTTTGACCTGATTCCTTGTGTGACCTTGGCCAAGTCTCTCCCCTTTTGAGCCTCAGTTCCCTAATCCATAAGATCTAGTTAGGATGATCTGTAAGATGGCTTTTAGCTCCAAAAAAGAGTGGGGAGGGTCCTGTGTCTGAAACAGAGTCACCACAGTTGGGAGACAGGGAGAGAGAAGAAAATGACAAGCTTCCTCCTTCCCATTGCAATCTAGACACGTTTCTCTGACTTCTGGGTCAGGTCACTGTCCTTCCTCCAACCCTGCAGTCTCTGAAGAGGGGAGGGGGAGGATAGGTGCAGGGAGAAGCTAAAAATGCTTTGAGATCTTCAGAGCTGGCTGCCATCTCCACCCCCACCCCTCCTTAGTTGGGGGTGGGGCCAACAAACGTCCTTCCAACCCCATGTCCTTATAGCTTGTAGGACCCAAGCATCCCAGTGCCCCTATCTCAGTTCCCCTAGTTCTCTGTTCCCCAAAGCAGGGGAACTCTGGTATCTAAGTACCCCCCTTCTACGGGAAGTGGGGAAAGCTGAGCCTCCTTAAAGATGCAGCTCCCATCCCCAGGCCGGCTGTGGTGGAGACAAGCCAGAGAGAACGAGAGGAATACCAAGTGTGCCCTGTACTGCTGGGAGGGAGCTGGGTTCCAGACGCTGGGGCGACTTCTGCCTTGTCCTAATCACCCTACTCAAGCACAGAGGCAGGGGCGGTGTCTGATTGTCTTCAGATACCCTCCCTGCCCTTCCTGACCTTATTTGGACCTCCTGGCTCAGGTAGAATGGGCGGGATTGGAGGGGCAGGGATGGGGAGAGGGAAAGCTTAAGCCCCCTGGATGCCTTGGTCCTTGATGAAAATGACTCCATTAGATCAGAGGCAGTCTGGTGAGGGGGAGAGAGCTCTGTATTTAGGGTCACGGTTGCTGGCTGGCAGCCTCAGTTTTACCACAATCGTACCAGCCTGTATGACCTTGGGCTAGCTTATCAACTTCTCCAATTTCCTCTTCTATAAAATGACTAGATGATCTCAAAGGTGTCTTCCAGCTATAATCTTAGAGTCCTATTCTCTCTGGAGAGGGTTTTCATTACCTGCAGCACCCCAAGTCTATTCACCCACACAGCTAGCTGTCCAGGGTGTATTCAACCTATACCTAATCTGGCTAGACCTGAGATCTTCAACCTGAGGGAAGTGGGGTTAGGGTGTTGAAAATAGTGAGCTGATGTAGAGGTGGAGACAAATGGAAGGAGAGGGTGGGAGGGAGGATCTTTTTTGTGGGGGGGAGGGAGGATCTTGAAGAGAGATAATCAAATGTTTGGAAGAGACTGGCTTAAGTTGGGGAGGGGATGGTAGGAGTGAGGGGCAAAGGGAGTAAATGGAAAGGAACGGGAAGCAAAAAAATATTCAGGGAGGGGGATTGAGTAGTGAGGGGGAAGGTTATGGGAAAATATATCATAACTGGAGACAGCTATGTGGCACAAGTAGTTAGAGTGCTGGGTCTGGAGTCGAGAAGACCTGAGCTCAAAGCTGGCCTCAGACACTTGCTAGCTGTGTGACCCTGGGAAGTCGCTTAATCTCTCAGCCTTAGTTTCGTCATCTATAAAATGTAGATGGCAGCTAGGTGGCGTAGTGGGTAGAATGCCAGGCCTTGGAATCAGAAAGATTCGTCTTCCTGAGTTCAAATCCAGTCTCAAACACTTACTAGCTGGGTGACCCTGGGCAAGTCACTTCACTCTGTTGGCCTCAGTTTCCTCATCTGTCAAGTGAGCTGAAGGAGATGGCAAACCACCCCAGTATCTCTACCAAGAAAACCGTAAATGGGGTCAGGGAGAGTCAGACACCACCGAAATGAGTGAACAACAAAAGGGAGATAGCACCTACCTACCAGGGTTGTTGTGAGAATCAAATGAGATAACATTTGTAAAACGCTTTGCAAATCTTAAACTGATATGAGTGAAAGCTGTTATTGTTGTTAAATATGGAAATAGAATAAGAACCAACATGTATCCATATAGCACTTTAAGGTGCACAGAGAACCTTATACAGTATCTCCATTCATCCCCAACATTTCCTGGGAAGTAGGTACCATTATTATCTGCATTTTGTAGTAGAAGAAAGTGAGACTCAGGGAATGAGCAATTCTCTGAAGCAGGTTACACAGCTAGTAAGTGTGGAGGTGTTGGAGCTGGTGCTATTCCTGTTTCCGAAGTCCACCACTTTATCCACTCTCTGGAAGGGGTGGGGTGAGGATCTGGGGGGAAGGGAAGTGAGAGGAATGGGAGAGATAAGGAAGCTAGTCAGGGAGGGAGGAAGAGGGCTAAGGTGAGGAAGAAGAGTCAAATAAGATGTGAGATGTGGGGAGACAGCGGAGGGGATGGACAGCAGCTGAGGCAAGTGGGGAGAGTCAGACAAGGGATAGAGACTGGAGTTCTGGAGATGAGATGGGGAATGGGCAGAAATGAGTAGGCAGAAAGCTATGGGTGTGTCTGGGAATTGCATAGGCAAGGAGAGAGGAGCAGGGGCCTGAGGGTGGATGTGGAACTCTAGGAGGAATCAGAATGTCAGTTTTTGGAAACAGGGAAGTGGGGTGTTTGGGGAAGAAGAGATGAATTGGGAAGTGAGGACAGGTGCAGGAACAGGAGTGATGGGGGCAGTAGAACTGTAAGGAGGGAAAATAATGGTGGGACAGGCCTTAGGGGACCCAATAAAGAAGGTAAGGAGCCTGGGGAGGAGCAGGGAGAGGTGCTAGTCAGGGACAGAGGGAAGAATAAGGACTGCTGAAGGGAGAGTGAGTAAGGGATCTAAGGGGAATGGGATGAGGTGGGAATGAGGAGTGGGCTGGAGATAAAAGTGTGTGGGAGTGAATTGGGATGGGAGGAGGCTGAATTGGGGAGAGAAAAAAGAAGGGGAAGAGTGATATGGGGAGACAGAAAAGAGGGATAAATTGAGCAGTGAGGAATGAGACCTGAACACCTCCCAGGAGGTGTTCTCTCCCTGCCCAGTGCCTGGGAGAAGAGCAGAGGTCTGGGACTGGGAGTGGAGAATTGTTTTGGGGGGAAGGGGAGGCACCTGATCCTCCTTCTCCCTCCTCCACCCAGCTCCCTGCCAGCAGCTTTCTAATTCCCCCATTAAACGTTTTTAATTATAGGCGGGCTCTGTCTGACCCGAGGGGTTATTTGCAGCAAGGAAAAATGAGAGAATTAAGGGAAATGACAGAGAAAATTGCGACAATTATCGGGGAAGGCATTGTTTCCCCTGTCTGTCAGGGGGAGCTGTTTGTGAGCTTGGGAGCTTGGTCCCCCCCCACCCCCCTCCATAGGCATTGTTTGCTGCCGGCTGCACCCAGGCTGGGAGCCCGGGGAGGGAGTTGGCCACCAGTGGGGGAATGTTAGTGCCTTGGGAGAAGGAGGATTGGAGGTGTGGGGGCAGAACACACCCAGGTCCCGTTGGAGTCAGAAAAATCTCGAGTGGAAGGGATGCCTGGGTCCAGATCTAGGTTGGAGATGGGGAGGACTAAAAAAAAAAAAAAAAAAAATTGTTGGGTCCTTTCCAGATATTAGATTTTTGGGAGCAGGGGAACAGGCTGCTTTGGTCCTATGTTCAGTGTTAGAAAAGACTTGATGTCTGCTGAAAGATTACAGCCAACAGAAATTTAGAGCTCATTTCATCCCTCTCCCAGGATGGTGAGGAGGATACTGCTCCAGTCCTCCCCCCCTCCCAGGTTTGGGGAAAGAGGGTTCTGCCCCTGGGAGATCCCTAAGGCTCTGCTGCCTCTCCTAGGGTCTTCTTATTGCTGCCCTGCTTGGACCCTTCTCCTGCTAGGGTAGCCGGGAGGTAGTGGGTTCATGGAAGGTTTTCTCCGGATGAGTGTTTCTGCATCAGCTGGGACTGGGTACTGGGCTCTGGTCCCTGACCTTGGTCCTGAAAGCCGCAGCCCAAAGAAATAGACTGAAGCAGCCGCGTGTGTGTGTGGCTGCTTCCACGTCTGTGGAATTCACGGACCACTTCTCTGAAAGTGAAATTAATTAATCCTGTTCTTTTGGAGAGTAGGGTGAGGGAATCTGTGTGATGAATTACCTAATCTCTGTGTGTTTGGGCGTGGCTGGGTATTTTGAGTGTGTTGAATTGATGCCTTGCCTGACTCTGTATGAGTGACATAAGATCAAAGAATAATAGATAATTTATAGGCAAGGAAATCTCAGACCCAGAGAGGTTTGCTTAATGTTGAGGGTGAAAAGATGAATCGAGATTCCAACTCAGGTCTTGTGATTCCAAGTTGAGAACTCTTTCCATTGCTTCCCAGGTCTGTGAGTAACTGTGGTGTGTATGGTGTGTGTGTGTGTCTGTCTGCCTTTTCTAGACTAGCTGACCTCCTCCTTACCCAAATCACAGCAGAGCCCCTGAAAGGGGCACTGGCTTCAGAAGGAGGTCCTCCCAAGTCTATTCTCATTTCCTCTTTCTGGAGGCAAAAGACAAGTGGGGCATTGTTTTCAGGGAGCACAATGAAATAGGATTTAGGGCTAGGGAAAAAGAAAACTTTACCGATCATCTAATCCAAGACTTTGCTTCAATTATGAGAGATCTGAGACTCAATCAGGGGGGTGCAGTGATTTTGACTATGGTCACAGATAATAGCAGAGACAGGATTTGAACTGAGGGCATAGGATCGTGGGATTTTAAACTAAATAGCATCTTAGGTTTTGTCTGGACCAATCTCCTCATCTTTAGCTGAGGAAACTGAGACTCAGAAAAGCCATGTGATTTGCCCAAGGGCACACGGTGGGGAGAGGCAGCCAGATACACAAATGGATATATAAACTGCAGGCCTCAACCCTACCCTCTTTCTTCAGTCTCTGGTGCCCCTGGACGGAGAGAGACCTCTGCCCTATTTGCTGACCTCTTTGAACAGCATTTGGGAGGCCACATTCTTCAGGTGAGGTCCCAGAAGCCCCCTTCCTTCCCTGCCAGGAACCCTTAAGCTTTCCCTCTCCCCATCTCCCAAAATCCAGGATGAGAGAAGCCAGACACCTGAGTTTCCTGTTCCTCCTTCATTCCACTTCCACCCCTTTCCACTCCCCCTACCAGCAGAGCCCTCAGGGACAAACTAGCTCTCTGTCACCACCTGGTATCGACAAAGGCATACCTGGGGTGCTTCTCCTACCTCCAAGACTCCTTGGAGGAGCTGAGGAGCTGGTGTGCCCCAGGTCCCTGGGTCCCTAGCTCACCTCTCCAGGTCTCTCCCCAACACCCCAGTCGCTGGACGGGTTCGTGTTCGCCTTGAACCAGGAGGGCAAGTTTCTCTACATCTCAGAGACAGTTTCCATCTATCTGGGCCTCTCTCAGGTAAGCATGGGAGGTAGAGGCCCTGGGCATTCAGGCTCTAGACCTTACCTCTGCATTTCCTCTGCCTTCTACCAATGGGAACTCATGATTCCAGGGCTAATCCCTTTCTCCTGGCCTCCCCTTCCTCTTCTGTCTGGATCCAGGCTTTGGGGACCTCAGTCCCTTCTCCCTACATTTAAGACTTAGATGTTAAGAGCTCCCAGACTCTTCCTCTAGCCTTCTTCCCTCCAAGCATACAAGCCTTTCTGACCTATGCCTCCTGCCAGGCCCCTGCCCTATATTCTCTCCCTTCAGTGAAGACCCAAGTGTCCAGGTGTTGAGGTTAGAATTGGGAGAGCTGGTGCAGGTGTGAAAGAATTCACTTAGACCTTCTCTGTAACCATTGGGGGCTTTATTAACACAAAAGCATCGGGCTAGCCCTGGAAGGAGGAATAGCAACTTACAGAGGGATAGGGGCTTGTTTTATCTTACAAGATAAGGGGGAATTGTCATGACACAGGATGAAGAAGATGGATGACAGGATAGGGGACCCAGGAGAAGAAAGGGGAAACTTTATGACTCAGGATAAGGGAGACAAGGAATTTTTGTGGTCCAGGATAGGGGGGACGTTTTATGGTATCTCAAGATAAGGGGAAGAGACTCTAGGATGCCCTCAAACTCAGGAGGCCTCACGAGGTACTGGAAAAACAGTCCTTAATTTTTTTTTTAGCCTTTAGCTTTTAGGGCACTGTTTGTATCCACATCGCAGGGCCCCCAGATACTTTCCTTGACATCCCTACTATTGCTTTCCAGACCCTGTCCCTGACACCCTTCCTCCTCCACCCCCCCCACACACACTTATTCAGGTGTCATGAAGAACTTCAAAGTCCATTTTGAAGAAAGGAGGAGAGGAAAGATCAATCTATAACAGAAGGGACTCCTTCTGTGTCCACTTCCCCTTTCCTAAAAAAAAAAAAAATGAAACTCCCCAGGGATAGAGGTAATCTATTGAGGGAGGGGAGGGACACAGAGAAGGTAGGAGATTTGTTCTGAGCTGTCCCCACAGAAGGTGAATGGACAGTCCCACTCCTTCCCCTCTTTACCCAACAATAGAAAGAACTTCCCTTTTGCCGAGGCATTTCTCCCATTCCCTTGGGGTAGGGCAGAGGGCAAACAAGTGATTGCCCACTCTACCCCCATGGCCCACAGGTGGAGCTGACTGGCAGCAGCGTGTTTGACTACGTGCATCCAGGGGACCACTCCGAGGTGCTGGAGCAGCTTGGGCTGAGGGCTCCACCCCCTGGGCCTGGGGCACCACCTTTTGGCCCCTCCTCCTCCTCCTCTTCATCTTCTTCATCCTCAGCTTCCTCAATCTCGGAAGCCCCAGAGACTGGTAACTCCCCCGAGTTCTTCCCAGGGGAGGGTGGGGGTCCTGGCTTGAGTGTCTGGCTGCATTTCACTTTGTCATCTGGCATACTGATTTCAATAGGATTTTTTTTTGATTGAATCGTCTGGCCTAAGCCCCCATGGGGAAGCTGCTAGCTAGTTCAAGATGGCCTGGGTGGAGTGGGAGGGGAGTCATAAGAATGATCACAGGATCTAAAGCTGGAAGGGGCCATAGAGATGATGGAGCCCAATCCCCTCATTTTGCAGATGAGGAAACTGAAGCTCAGACAGAAAAAGGGACTGGCTCAAGGTCACCCAGCAGAGCCAGGATGGGAGCCCAGCTCCTCTGCCTTCACACCCAGCACTCTTTCCACTCCAAACCATTGTCCTTCCCTCTTGTAAAGCATCCCACCTCAGGTTAGCTTGGCTCTCTATTGAATTTTCTTCTATGCAGTCTGCTCATTAAGAGCTCCCATCTCCTTTAGCTTTTTGTGGTTAATGGCAGTCCTGGGACCACAGGTATTACCGTCATCCTCATTTTACAAATGAGGAGATTGAGTCCAAGAGGGCTCGAGTGACTTGTCCACAGTCACACAGGTAGTAAGAGTCAGAGCAGGATTTGAACTCAGGTCCATTAACTCCAAACCCAGCACACTTTTCACAGCATCATGGGCTATGATGATGGTATGTGGCTGTGGTTATGAATCACCAAGTAGCTTACCATATAGTTTATGCCTCACTGAGTTTGTGTTTGAGTAAGATTGCATTTGACTGTGTGTCTCTCCCAGTCTTTGGGTGAGTATGCGTGTGAGTGGGTGTGACTTTGTATATAAGAGACTATGTAAGAGGTTATGAGCTTGGATAGCTAAGTCTGGAGGGATGGAAGGACATGGGAATCCCAGGTGACTACAGTAGGGGTGGGGGAGGTCTGTGTTTAGTGTAAGAAGGACTGGGGAGGGAGGGTCACTGTCCAGAGACACCCTGACCCCCTTCCTATGCCCCTTTCTTTAGAGCTGGCCCCCCCCCTGGGAGGGAGGGTCACTGTCCAGAGGCACCTTGACCCCTTCCCCATACCCCTTTCTTTAGAGCTGGCCCCCC